GAGGGGGAGGAGGAGGAGGAGGACCAGGAGGAAGAGGGCGAGGAAGACGGGAGGTGTGCCAGGCACCTCAGGGCCGCGCTGATTCTCATCGGGAGGGGCGGCGGCGCAGGCGGAGGGGGGCGGCGGAGGGAGAGGAGGAGCCCCGGCTAGGCTCTGCGAGGCCGGGCGGGCGTGCGGCCGAGGCCCGCGGCCCTGCCCGCCGCGGAGCCGCTCGCGAGGGCCACGTCGCCGCCGCTGGCCGTGTCGCCGCGGGCTCGGCGCGCGCGCGCGCGAGGATGCGCTCGCTTGTGGAGGTGCTCGCTCGCGCGAGGATGCGCGAGGATCCTCGCGCTCGCTCGCCGCGCAAGATCCTCCCGAGGTGCGCTCGCGCGCGGAGTCGGCTGTCGCCGGGGTGCCCGAAATGTCCGTGCCTCCCCCAAGCAAGAAAAGCAGTAGCAGCAGCAGCAGCAGCAGCAAGAAGAACGGCAGCAGCAACAGCAACAGCAACAGCAGCAGCACCACTACCACCAACAACAACAGCAACAGCAGCAGCAACAGCAACGACATCAACAACGTCACTAACCTTTGTAATAACACAACGCACGAACAAACACAATACTAACAACAACAGCACCGACAACAACAACCACAACCACAACCACACCACCAACAACGACATCAACAACAACGACAACCGACAACGACAACGACAACATCACCACCAACAACAAGAGAAACCTATACAACCACAACAACAGCTACAGCTACAGCTACAACTACAGTACAACTGCAACAAGATCAACAGCAACCGCAACAACAGCAACAAAACTACCAGCAACGCCAGCGGTAGCAACAACAGCACTATCAACAACACATAGACGGGGCATTGCGCCCCGGCGGCAGCGCCTGCTGGGAGTTCGGGGGAGGACGAGGCACAGATATCGCTGCTCGTCCCTCGTTTCGGCAGTGGTGCCCACGCGACGCTTGCCAAGGGTTGGCGCGCAGGGCTTCTGCTGCTGTGGGGGGACCCTCGCCGCCACCGCTTGATCCGTGTTTTAATTCTGGCCATCAGGACAGAGAACAAACCGAACAAAGGCAAAGTTTCTGAAGGGGGGAATGGAGCTTCGCCGATCCTCCCCAGACCTCTCCCAGGGTGCGGCCTGACCAGGTCAGATGGCGCCCTGGAGAAGCTCCAGTGAGTGTCGAACGGCAGCGCCTGCTGGGAGCCGTGGCCTCTTTGTTTGGGGGGGGCGCGCTTCTTCTCGGCCGCGCTGTCTCTGGCAAGTGGCGCCGCGCTCGCAGCACCAGCCCCCGAGGGAGCGCTCGACTGCAGGAGCTCGGGGGGCCCTGAACGGCCCGGTGACCACACCGTGTGGTGAGGCGGCGGCGATCTCGGGGTGACCGCATGGTTTTTTCGGGCTCGGGTCGTTCTCCGCGGACGTCTCCAGCGATGGGGGCCTCCGAGTTTCCAAAACCATGCCGTGACGGACCGTGCGGTGAGATGTTTGTGGGTGCCAAAGGTTGCCGCACGGTCCGTCGCCGCAGTTGCTCTTCGGGGCCCCGAGAACCGTCGGGCGACGTGCCACGCGTGGCCAGATGCCGAGGCCGCGGTGGCCTTGCCCCCCTCCTGCCCCCGTGGAGCCCTGCCGTGAGCCCCGACGACGGCAGCGGCGAGGTGGGCGATGGCAACGGCGAGGACGGCGGCGGTGGCGGTAGTGGCCGCGACGACGGCGAGGAGGAGGAGGAGGAGGAGGAGGAGGAGGAGGAGGAGGAGGAGGATTAGGAGGTGGCCGAGGAGGTGTGCCGCGATCTTCTGCGCCTGGAGTCCGTGTCCGGTTCCTGGGGCCGTCGAAGAGGCCCAGCTGCCCGCGGCGAGTCCCGCCGCCGTGCCTGCCGGGGACCTCGAGTGGCAGCTGTTCGGGGGGCGCACGAGAGGCCGCCCCGTGTGACGCCTCGTGTCCCGAGGCATGAAGCAGGCGTAACATGTGGCGCGCTCTTCCGCTTCGTGTCAGGGGTTCTCGTCTCTTTTCTCTTCTCCTCTCCTCTCCTCTCTTCTCCTCTCTCTTCTCTTGTCTCTTCTCTTGTCTCTTCTCTTCTCTTCTCTTCTCTTCCCTTCTCTTCTCTTCTCGTCGTCTTCCTCCATTTCTTCTGTGGTCTTGGGCTCCTACGGGGTAGTCTTCGGTGGAGCTTGGGCCACTCTGGACAGTCTTGGGGCCTTCTTGGGTCGTCATAGGGGCTCTTCTTGGGCCGTCTTCGGGCTCTCTCGGCATCGGCGATGGCCTCTCTGTGGTCGAACTTGGCCGAATCTGGCAACATCCCGTTCCATCGTGCCCACCCACACCGACTTCGGCTTAATGTGGCATAATGCTGGGCTAAATCTCGGCCCGTTTGGCTTGACGACCCTTTGCTCGGGCCTCAGCGCCTATAGTCGTTCTTGCGAAGACCTCCCATGAGTCCTACTCATGGGAAGTCGTCGCAGGAACGACTGAGGGTTGTCCGCGTACTTGTCTTTCTGATCTCTTAAGGCTTGTCCGTTGATTACGGATGACCTGAGAACCCATGTGCCATTCGGAGGCATTGCCGCCAAACGGCACACGGATCCGTAAACAACGGCAGCGTGCGCCCGAGTATAGTCAAGACGTTGAAATCAGGACTGCTTTGGTAGTTTGGCCGTTCCTTAGATTTCTGCCATGGAACTTGTTTGTGGTTTAGACTCGCCGCGGCCATGAAACAAACTGTTCGGTCCATCTCATCGGGGCCAGGCGCATGTCCACTACACCATCTTATGTTTGTCCAGCACTTCGTGGCAAATGGCGACCCAACACATAGTGTATACAGATTATGTTCGACACCCTTCGCCTGGAGAACCAGCTTGAACATTGTACACTAGATGTTGTCCCGTGGCGTTTCTGCGAAATCCCATGGCACAGGGCCCAGATACCTTCATATACACACGAGCGGTTCCCATATCTCGGCGGCGAGCGAGGAGTGAAGTGAGAAGGAGAAGGCCTTCTCAGTGGGCGACTTCTCAGAAGCCCTCGGGCCCTCTGGGAAGCTCTCCAGGTCCTCGGGGAAGGCTTAGAACATCTCTCAGAAGGCCGGGGGGACTTCCGAGCGTCCTGCGAAGGCCTCCTCCTCGCTTCCCCCCCATCGCTCGCCGCTGAAGATTATCCGTTCCCTACCCAGACCCCCGACGTCATGATTTTTTGCGCAACGTCGACCCCCAAAGGTCTGGACCCCTTCCCCAGGACTGGTTTTTCATCCTGCATTGTTTGTTGACGGTCCCGGGGCCCAGGAAGGGCCCCCGGAGGCCGAAAATTGTGGCAAACCGCCCGTCGTGATCCTTCCACAGCGCGAGGGGGTCTTGGCATGGTGGCGCGTGGTCTCTGGGAGCACCGCTGGCCCGCCCACGGCGGCCGGTGGCGGAGGAGGAGGAGGAGGAGGAGGAGGAGGAGCAGGAGGAGCAGGAGGAGGAGGAGGAGGAGGAGGAGGAGGAGGAGGAGGAGGAGGAGGGCATGGCGGTGCGCTGTCTCTCTGGGAGCACCGCCGGCCCGCCCGCGGCGGCCTCGTCCGAGGCCCGCGGCGCCCGCCGCGGCGGCGCCACCCTGGGAGCCCCGCCGCGCCTCCCGGCCGGACCGCCACGCCGGCGCCGGCGCCGCCCTGGCCGCGGCGCTGTCGCCCCCACAGGCCTCTCCTGAGAGGGGCCTTGGGACGCACAAATAACAGGATTCCCCATGTTTTCCCATATTCTCTGGGTTTATGTCTTCCCCCCCACTTCCCATGTTTTCCCATATTTTCTGGGAAAACGACGATTAATTGTGTCTGTGTGTTTCTTTCCCTCCTGATCTCCGTGGCGCGGTGCTCAGCTCGAAAGGGAAAAAGAACCGCATAAACATAAACTGTTGGCGCTCCGCGCGGATTTCTGGGATCCGCGCCCGGGCCCCCCCGGCGGCGCCTCCGGCGCCGCCCCGCGCGCCAGGGAGAGGGGCCCAGGCGCGGATCCCAGAAGTCCGCGCGGAGCGCCAACAGTTCATGTTTATGTGTTGTTGTTCTTCTTCTATCAGTGCAGTTCGGTGGAGGAGCAGGTGCCCCTACGGCTGGCCCTTGCCTCGTTTTCCCTTCGTCTGGGCCTCCTGGGAGGCCC